TAGGAAGGGAAAAATGAAGGGGGGAAATCAGAGGGGGAGAGAACCATGAGAGACTATGGACTCTGAGAAACAAACTGAGGGTTCTAGAGGGGAGGGGGTTGGGGGGATGGGTTAGCCTGGTGATAGGTATTAAAGAGGGCTCGTACTGAATGGAGCACTGGGTGTTATATGCAAACAATGAATCATGGAACACTACATCAAAAACTAATGATGTAAGGTATGGTGATTAACATAATAAAATAAAATTTTAAAAAAATGATACTGAAAAAAAATAAATAAATAAATGGAAGCCTGACTTCTAACTAAGGCTGACTGGCTTCAGAGCCCAGACTCTTCAACTATTAGACAAGGGAAAAAAATAGGTAAAGAATATGAACAGGCAAGTCAGAGAGGAAGAAACCCAAATATATGAAAATCGGAAAATCTCACTACTAAGCGGCAAAACACAAATGAAAGCAGTGAAATACCATTTTCACTCCCCTGGTGATGTCATAGAAAAATGGGAATGTGAGCTGTTACAACCTTTTGGGAAGCAACCTGGCAATATTTAAAGCATTAAAAACACAATAACCTCAGACCCAGAGGTCCCACTTTGAGGAACATCCCTATTGAAATAAGAACACAAGTATTTAAGCGTATAAATATCTCATGTTGTGAGGTGCCTGGGTGGCTCAGTCGCTTAAGTGTCTGACTTTAGCTCAGGTCATGATCTCAGGGTCCTGGGATGGAGCCCTGCATTGGGCTCCCTGCCCAGTGGGGAATCTGCTTGCTCCTCTCCCCTAACCCCTCCCCCTGCTCATGCTCTCTCTCTCAAATAAATAAATAAAATCTTTAAAAAAAAAAAAAAAGAATGAGGACTGTTTCTAAAATGTTATGTCTTTTCTAAAATGTTGTTTTTATGGGCCACAAGCACACCATCTCATAGGCTTTCATAGTTCTTTATGACTATGGCTACTTATTAGTCCAGCTGGTTATTAACAATTGCTAATACTTGGTATTCCCACCAAAATATATCACATTACCTAAAGTTTAAATGAGAACTCTAATGATAATACTAAGCTTGCGCAGCTCCCACTGTGCATCGGCTTGTGCAAATTCCCACAATTTGGGGGATACATATTCATTATTTAAGACATTATAGGTGCTGACTTAAGTGAGGCCAGAGTTTTTAATTGCTATATTCTCAGTTTCTAAGTGTAAATTACTGCTATTTTCACTTCTTAATGATCAATTTTCATTCGTTGTGGGTTGACTTATTAACCCTATAGTGCACAGTTAAGCAGATTCGCTTTGGCCTAAGATGCACACATGGCAGGTATATGAATCAACTCCACCCCTACTGCTCAAGCAGATGACCATTTCCCCAAATTTGCTGGTATTGGGATAAGGCACTGCTACCAATGCAAAGTCTGATTCAGTCGGAGCGGTATGCTCGAGGGCCTTTTACAATACTTACGCACATGACAGTCAAACCAATTTTGGGAATCGTGATCTAGAGCCTGTGAATCAAGGTGGGCACTAGAGAGCTGCAGCCTCAGCATCACCGGGGAGCGTGCCAGGAATGCAGAGTCTCAGGCCCCGCCGCAGACCTTCCAGGTCAGAACCTGCATTCTGTGCAGACCTCTGGTGATCTGTGTGCACCAGCTCTGAGAAGGGCTCATCGAGAAGACTCGTAAGTAGAATAGAGCGGTTTGTCTCTAAGTCAAACTGAAACCAGCTATGTGACTCCAGGCCATTAAACCTCTCTGGGATCCACTTTCCCCACCTTAAAACTGAAGGGCATGAACCACAGAACTTTTCATTATCCCTTCCAGTTGCCTAAAGTTATGATTCTACAACAACTGTGTTGTGGGAATTGCTGCCCTTGAGAGTGAATTAGAAACATGTCTTGATTGAAACATGTCAGCAGCTCATTCAGCCCCTCCCTTTCTTCTTCCAGTTGGGCATGCTCTTGTGGGGATTTGGGGTACCCAGTCATAGGGTAAAATGGCCTACCTTCCTGGAGGGGTGATTTTACTCAAACGTTTTCAGATAGAAACTATTACTTTTAGGTCCTAACAATAATGACTATGTTGTGGAGTAAAATGTAATGTTTGCATACAATTTAAAGCTAAAACACAGGCTTCAAATAAGTTTCACTGTTCCCTGCAGCAAATAGGGTCTGAGCTCACAGACTTACTGAGGGTGCAAATGGAACATAAGCTATGCAAAAGACTGAAAAACTCATTTTTGCCCTCTAGGGTATTTTTCCCCTCCCTCCCTCCCTTCTCTTCCTTCCCTCCTTCCCTCCCTCCTTTCTTTCCTTCCTTCTTTCCCTCCCCCCTCCTTTCTTTCATTCTTTTTCTTTCTTCTTCTTTTTTAATCTATTCATGGCAGACACCTACAGAGACTTTTCATAAAAGTTTCCTCCTCCAAGACAAAATTCACTCTAAATTATGTTCTAGACCATCTTGGAAAACAGTAAGAAATAATTTTGATATACATTTAGAAAATCATTCCTCAGTAATACCTCTGCCAAAACTTCTATTCTGATATAAAACTGTTGATATAAAATCTATTCTGATATAAAATGTTAATCTCTGCCTTAATACTTTGGAGGTGTGAATGCATGGAATAATGTACCCATGGCTGAGCTTCCCATTCCATAAGTAAAGAAGGAAGAGCAGACTTGCACAGATGCTCGACAGACACTGGGAAGTGTGGAGTAGAGCATCAAGTATAGCCCAAAGTGAAATGTGATTCTGCACCAACATGAGCTGCCAAATTTCAAACCATGCATGTGGCAGGCAGAAGAACAAAGATGGTGCACTTAGGCCCTGGAAATGACTTACATACATAGTCAGGGGAGGAGAGCTTACTTGGGCCTTCATTGGTTATTAATCAAAACACCGTGGAGCTAAAAGAGCTTCTCATCCAAGTTTTACAAACTTAAAAAATAAAATAGCTTCTCTCCAGGGACCAAACTTTACGCAGCTTTTATCAGCCAGAAAGGCATACTGTTGGAAGCAGTGAACCTGGGTAAATGGGCTTTCCCTGCTGAGGGTGATAAATGATAACGACGTCCTGTGCGTGTCAGTGATTTGCAGCATCCCCAGCAATGTCTCGTACATGATCCGTGCGGTCTCAGCACTGTTCCTGAGAGGGAGGTGGGGCAGGTGGCAATATCCTTCAACTACAGATGGGTCACCGGAGCTCAGAGAGGTAACATGACTTCTCCAAAGTAGCCAGGCTCATTAACACTGGTTAGACCAGTACCCAGGTCTCTGACTCCTACAACCTGTTCTTTAACAACTGCGCTCCATCCTGGGGACACACCTGTGGTGTATGGGCAGCCACAGACAGGAAGAGGGGAAGCTCTGAATCTGCTTGATAAATGTCCCTTAGAGCCTGGGGAGTGTCCCCTCCTGCTGCTGACCAGTCCTTGTCAATGTAGCAGGGTCATCTCTCAGATGACCACTTATAAAAAATACTGTAAAACCGGCCCAGACGGCACTCAAGAGCTCACTCTACCAGGTAGCTTGATGTGCTAGAAGGTGACAGGCAAGTGCCTTTGGTCACAATAGCTGTGGGACACTGAGCAGGTAACTAAACCTTAGTAAACCCCAGTTTTCCGAATGCCTGAAAGGAGGTCTTGGACTAGATAACCTCTAATATTCAAGTCTGTGTGTGTCGACAGCAAGGCACTCCCCAACTAATGAACATACACCAAAGTAACAAAAATACACCAAACACACATCTTATATGTCTCCTTCCCTTTTTTTACCTGAGTCACACCACTTCTGCCACCATAACCTGCCCTGTGTGACCAAACAGGGGACCTGAAGCACTGACCTTATTGGCCAGACCACCTGAGCCAGACCATCCCCCAGTCTCCAGCCTCACATTTCAGTGTAAATGGACCCAAAGGGAATTCCAGAATCCCAGAGACACATCAACGAGCGGAATGAACTCTATTTGAATATAATATATGTACTTTTTAATGACAGAAAATCTACTGTTACGCTGGTAATTCCAGCTTTGCCAATTACTTTAGGATATTAGGATCGTCTGGATAAGTGAAGCATTTTATATACATATGGGACTACTTTTCATTGAAAACTGGACACATCAGGTTAAGTATAAGAGTAAATCTATGTAAAGTAGTGCACATCATTTAGAGTATACATAGGGCCTAACTCTGATTTCTTTAAGCATTTCTATTTTGACAGAGAGCCCTCTTTCCTAATCGCTGTTTATCGTCACAAAGCGTAAAAGTCACCCATACCTTAGAAGAGTCTGAACTTTTCATGTATGGCTCAGCGCCGTGTGTGATGCTCCCCTGAAGCACTTTTTCAATTCTAGCCACAAGGAATATATCAGGATGAGGACACGTGACTGAAAATATTCCCTAGGGAACAAACGATTTTCTTTAGTGAGTAAAATGCACAGCCACGTTAAACAAATCCCCTGAATGTTAAACCTGCTAAGCAGCAAAGACTGCTGAAACAGAGGCACCCAGTGCTTCATCACTAGGTCACCATCTGATCAAAGAGGCAATTTGGCGGGGCACCTGGGTGGCTCAGTTGGTTAAGCGACTGCCTTCGGCTCAGGTCATGATCCCAGGGTCCTGGGATCGAGTCCCGCATCGGGCTCCCTGCTCAGCAGAGAGCCTACTTCTCCCTCTCCCTCTGCCTGCCGCTCCCCTTGCTTGTGCTCTCCCTCTCTCTCTGTCACATAAATAAATAAAATTAAAAAAAAAAAAAGGCAATTTGGTTGGGGGGCGGGGGGGACTAGCAGAAAGTTTAGTGTATGTGCTGCCGAAGCGAGCACTAGCAGAAAGTTTAGAAAAAAAGAAATGAGAAGTCAAACACCATTTCTTCATCTCTCAGCTTGCTTTTACTGCCTAATTACAGATGCTGTCAATACACTCAACAGTCTCATTCCATCCAGGTGTGCATTACAAAGTCTCATTACACATTCACACAGGCTGTGCAAGGTAAGTCTTAGCAGTACGCCTGCCGGGCTCATGTCCCCCACCTGCTTCGGATACTGCATGGCAGCTTCATGAAGGATGTCCTGAAGGGCAGGCGAGCTCTGCCTGCCACCGTTCATCAGAGCCGGGGATGTGGTGGCCAGCATCTGCCTCACGGAGAAATGATTCAGGTCCACGTGGAAATCGGCAGAAATCTTTCGGTTGTATTTTATGTCAAACAGGGATAGAGTAACAAAGAAAGGCTCTACCTGAACAAAACAAAACCATCCAGACCATCACTATGGCTCGAACTGCTGGGGGGAAAGAACACTGCTATCAAAGAAGAAATTACTAAACCTATTTATAATTGTTGCTATAAATTACTGCTAAAGAGAAACAGTCTCCATCCCTATCCTTTGTCACAAACATCCTGTCCCTGAGGCTGAACAACTCTCCGCATCCTGACCTAGACATTGCATTTCTCTATCAGGAACTAGGATTTTCTGTCCCGACTGCACTGCAGTAGGCACATCGGCAACCTCTGAATATTTTTGTAAAATATTTTTTAAAAGGGAAAAATTACATTTGTGGTGGGTCCTTCTTCATTTTCTCCAACACAGCATTGTAAATTGAAAGACAAATCGTTGCATTTGACAAGAATTCTCTTCCCAAACTTCTCTTCAAATGGCTTCACTTCGGGTTCAGCTGATGTGAAGTCAAGCTTCTTTAAAAGAAAATGTAAATACATAAATACATCATGCTCACATTAAAAAAAAAATCTAATAATAAATATATCCTAAGGAAACTCCGTAAAATATGGAAAAGCTATATGTACTCATTTACTCACAATAGTGTTACTGTTTTATAAGTTTATATAGCTTATGTTAATGGTCAAATAAATGATGGTATGTCTACTCAACGGATTATTATACAGAGCTTAGAAATTATGGTTATGAACAACTTAAGTGTCCATCACCAAATAAACAAAATCTGGTATATCCATACTGTGGAATATTATTCAGCCATAAAAGGAAGGAAATTCTGACACACACCACAACATGGATGGACCTTGAAAACATCACATCAATAAGCCAGATACAAAGGTCACAAATGAAAAGGGGAAAAATACAGCAGAACCGTCACCCGCTGTGGGCAGCTTTGGAGGTCCTTACCACTGGGTTTGGACTTTTTGGAGCACAGATGTGGACTGTATGTGCCTTGGACGAGTCAGGAAACACCACTGCCCGCTAGGCATCTGCAATGATGCTTATTATTTTCTGACAGTCATTGTATGGGGTAAATTATATATTCTTTGTAGACTTGAGGACATCTTTGGATAAATCTCTCAGTTTTCAACAATCTACACTCACAGTGGTAGTGGTGCGGTGATGAGATTATGGTTGTTTTTCATTTTTCCTTTTCCCCTGAATTTTCTATATTGTTGTTATGTTGCTTGTCAATCCAAGGTAAACAAACAAGCAAACACACAAATAAACAAAACATATAATCTGTCAAACATTTTCTTTCCCCGACTTAGTTTTAAAATGTAAACATTAAAATAGTTCGTACCTGGGCATCTGGGTCCAAGTAAAAAAGTTTAACTCTGCTTTCACTTTTCAGTTTGATTTCTGCTTCTCTGGTACTCTGATAACAAGACAAACAAAAAATAAAAATTACATCTAAAAAAACCCTCTTCTTACAGAGGTGTTCAAACATGTTTGTCCCATCCTGAGGAGCCAGCCTGCCAGACAACTCTGCTCTCATTCTGGAGAGTCAACTGCACGTCGATGAACAAGGACAGACTATCAAGTAGGTAGTACATGAGAAGACCTGATCCTAGAGGGTCAGAAACAATCAAAGAAAGCAAAAGAGAGTAATTAAGCATTACTATCAAGAAAGCCTTCATAAAGTAATGGAAGAGGGGACAGGCTATGAATGAAGGGGTGGAATTTGAATAGTAAAAAGTAGGAAAACATGAACATTGGGGGCTGAATGAAAAAGAGACACATAGAGTGGAAATGAGGCCAGATGGTAGAAAGAATTTTGGGTACACGGAAGACTGAGGTATCAGCCCAGGAAGAGAAAGGAGTATTTTTGAATTGTGGGATAGAGAAACTATGGCAGATCTTGAAGGCCTGCCATTGGTGTTTATGGCAGGCAGGAGGGGGTATTGCTGATCCACTCAATAAATATTTTTTGAGCACCTATTATGTGTCAGGCACTAGGGACACAAACATGAATGAAACATAGCACCTGTCCCCAAGGAATACTAGCGAAGACAGAACATAAACAGGCGATAAGAATGGCAAAGCAAGCATAAGGTACAGTGAGTGCTAACCTGGCCCAGGGGATGGCAGTCAGGGAACAGTTCCCAGAAGAAGGACTACCTTGAAGTACAAGAACATCTGACAGGAAAGAAGGGAGTTCTGGGAGGAGGTACTGCAGGTACAAATCTACAGTCACATCTGAGCAATGGTCAAGTCGTTTATTACAATTGAATGGTTGGGCACGATGGGAAAAGTAAAGAGAAATGAATCTGGTATTTGTATGTAGGGACTGAGGATTTTCTTCAGAAGCCAAAAAATCCAAATGCACTATTTTAAGCAAGGGAATAAAATAACCAGGTTCTGCATTTTAAAAGAACCCCTTGGGCAGGGCTGAGGCAGTGGGTTAAAAGGGTTAAGACCAAGAGGCCCACAGGGGCTCTTTATCACAGCTGCCTCCCCATCCCACAGCAGAGCCCATAACAAAGTCTAGTCCTCATGTGGGTAGCCATTAACTGAGATTGATAAGTCAGGAGGAAGAGGAGGTTTGTGGAGAAGGTGATAGAACATGGAGATGCCTGTGGACAGGGAGATGGCATGTGAGCCCAAGGTAGGAAGGAAGGCTGAAATTACTGATGCGGAGAACATCAGTCTAGAGATAGGAATAGAGAACCCCGAGAGTGGCTGAGATTCCCTGGGGGAAAATGTGAAGGAGTTTGCAGACAGAATTCTTAGGGCCTCAACACTGAAGGGATGGCAAGAAGGGAAGCCATGGAGGGAGAGAGACATATGGAGGCAGAGATGGGGCTGGAGAAGTGGAATTTGGGAACAGTAAGAAGGTTCTAAGACATTCACAAGATGGAAGTCATTGCCAACCACATCATTTTTCATGCCCAGTGCCTCTAAATTTGTATCCTGTTCTTATTACTCTCAGTCTCCATGGTTAAGTCCACAGAGTCGGAATAGGATGTCCTCTCTCATCTGTTCTTTCCCCACAGACCGGGTCACATCTCAGCATGTGATGGGGCAGTGACAGCTACAGTGGGGAGGGTGTCTTGTCCTCTCTGCTGGGGGCTGAACACGGTCTATTAATTACAGTGCTAGATTATGGCTAATGAGAAACTGAGCAGCTTCCTAATATACTCAGTCATGTAGCTGTTATAATAGGTTGGTTCTCAGCAATGACCCAAACTCTATCATGACTAGGTTTGAAAACCAATGGTCTATGTCTGGCAAAATGAAATGACCACCAGAATACCAACTAAGAAACTATGTTCTAGATCTAGTTCACTTGTCAACTAGCTATATGAACGTGAGCAAGCCGCTTAGCCTCCCTGGACTCCACTTTCATTTCTGGGTAAAAAACAAGATGAGGGCTAGAGTCTCTTTGCAGAGCAAAGTTTATCTTGATGTTCTCAATGGGAGCTTTAAGGCTTCTGGAGGTGAGAAGCATTCCTACATTCCTAGAAATCGTTTGATTTGAGCTGTCCTGTGTGGAATAGGACAACTTTTTAACTCTACCTTGCCTATCACCATTCCTAACTTTTCACATCAAAAGAGCCAGAACATGTCCATGTACGATATACTTAACTGAACCCAAAGAATTTGCTTTGTATACAATCCATGATGTTTCCTAACAAAAACGTCAGTACTAGGTGCTGCAAGCCACCACCAGAAGTAATGCATTCTACTTCTGATTTTCTGCTTGAGTCCTTCAACAAAGGCAGATCCTGTGATCTCAGACACTCTAGCAGAGCAATGGATTCTTAACGTAGATACAATTCCTGGCACGTTTCTCAAAGACGCTTGTTGTCTCAAGCAGACTATATCCGAGATCAGAAATGAACAGAGCATGGATGACTGCTATGAGATCCATATAATTAGAGGGCAACCAGGGATGCAGACACATTAAAAGAAAAAAAAATCAACAACTAGCCAAAATAGACTCAAAGCATCCTGATGTTGCCACTAATATCCAAGGGATAATATTCTTCACTAGAGAAACCATTTAATGGGAAAGAAGGGACAACTTTAGAAGTAAAAATAACCTAAAAGCCTATCATCTACCTTAGATACACTGACAGCTCTAGTAGGTCATTGATTAAAAGCAAACGCAAAGATCCTTAAAAGTTCCTCCCCATCCCCCAAGGCTTACAATGAATGCATTAAACAGAAGGGACACCTGATAAATAGTGTTCGAAGGAATTACCAAGTAAAACCTAGGCAGAAAGAAAATGTGGCTCAGGAAGGGCAGGGCTTTGCCCCAGAACCAGGGAATAACAGATACCTGGAAGCGTCACAATGATAAAAGCAAATATTTTTGGACAACAGCCAACATCTCTATGCTAAATATTATCCTAAGTGCACATTTAAAACTTGTACAACCTTAGGAGGTGGGTCCTAGTATGATCCTTGTTTAAAAAAGGAGACACTGACGCACAAGGGATAAATACCGTGCTCAAGAACTCAACACATTTAAATGGAAGCCTGGGAGGGGGAGGAGCAAGATGGAGGAGGAGGAGACCTAAATTTTGTCTGGCCCCAGGAATTCAGCTAGATAGGGATCAAACCATTCTGAACACCTACGAACTCAACTGGAGATCGAAGAAAAGAATAGCAGCAACTCTGAACAGAAAAGCGACCACTTTCTGTAAGGTAGGACATGGAGAGAAGTGAATCCGAGGCGATATTCGGGAGGATAGATGGCGGGGAGGCGGCCTCCGATGGCCGCTTCTGGCAAGTGATAG